ACCTGAGGATATTCCATGAACGGACAAAATTTTTTGAGAATGCTCCTCTAACCACCAGTCGAATTCACCTTATCCAGCCGTGTTTTTTAGGAAATGCAAATCAGATGTATTACAAATGTCTATTCTTCACGGGGTGTCCCACGATCTAGCTTCCATTCTTAAAATTAACCTTGTAAATCTCTCCCAAATAGATCAAACGCCTCTGCATTTATTTATACGCTTCCGTTTTTCTCTGTTCAAGTTCCTCATGGTCTTCAGCTTGGGCCTAATCACCACTGTCAGTCTCTCCATTACCGGAATCTTTCTCCTCATTCCCACCGTGGGGACTTCCCATACCCTCACACACTTCTCCTTCTGCGCCAGCCTCACTGCTCTCTGGTTTTGTCTCTATCGCACCGGCACCATCAACCCGGGCTTTATTCCCTCGTCCTCCGCCACGGTCACCTCCTCTGCTTCCTCCATCTCTGAAGAGGCTGTTGCCATTGCCGTCGTGGATGTGGTTGATGCAGAGGTGCGTCGAATTCTCGTAGAAGGTGCTGACGCGATCGGCGGATCTCGACGTCCAACGCTCTTAAAGCGCTTCTGCACCACCTGTCTGGCTCGCAAGCCTCTGCGATCGAAACATTGCCGAGCGTGCAACCGCTGCGTAGCTCGGTTCGATCACCATTGCCCTTGGGTGGGGAATTGTGTAGGACAGAACAACCACCAATGGTTCATCGCTTACCTTCTGTCTACATCGTTGGCGCTGATGCTCTTTATGCGAGAGGCGGTGCTGTTTTGGCAATTGGCGCCGCCGTGTTATGATCCAGTGAAAACGGATGAATACGGTGATTTGGGTAGGACACTTGTTGTCACGTTTACTCCTTATTACCCCATGTTTTGTTAAACATTCCGTTTAAGTCAACATTGCAGAGGCCAGATGCAGAAGAAACATCCTTTGTCGTTATCCCCAAAATTTGAATTGCCAACTTTCTGTAGTCGTGCCGATGATGTTGGAGCAGAGAGCAGTTACCATTGGACAGTGAATTTGACGAGAGAAGGGAGAAAGTGATATTGAATGGCCAATGAAAATTGGTTCTCATTTGCTTTCCAATTATCCATTTCTCGAGGCTTATTGGCCTAAGCAAGTCGATCCGCTTTGCGAACTCTGATTGTGTTTTGTTTCCTCCTCTCAGTGAGAGGCTGGCGCTACTATTGGCAATGGACATGCGTAGCTGCTTGGTGTGATCCCTGGGTGGCCTATTGTTTCGTCAACGCTGCCTTTTACGTCATCTGGACGAGCCTTCTCTTCTTTGTTCACCTCCATCAAATGGCTTGGGGTGGAGTGACCACAAATGAGCGTATCAACGTTGATCGTTACGTGGAGTTTTCCGGTGGGCTTGTTTGGCCCAAGGCTTCGTCGTCCTCTCGATGTTGCTCTTGTCTCTGTGGTCTTCCACCTTGCCCCTATAACCGCGGAGTTGCAGGCAATTTGGCCGATCTCTGCCGAATTCGCCTGGGCAAGCATCAGCCCATCAACTGGTGCGATATATATGAATTAGATGCCTTTGTGCAGGAACCAGAGACTCAGATGCGAGAACAGCAACGTGGCGACGAATATATTGCCTGATTATATTGGGCAAGACCGCGGCGTCCTCCCCTTACCCCTCGTCTATACCTTTATTTCTTTTTCCTTTTTATTCTCGAATTGTTGTGTGTGAGGGTGTGTGAGTTATGGAAATAAATATGCCTTTTTATTATGCCATGTGTTGGTGTTCTTTTTTCGCCTTCAGCTTGTTTGTCTGGATGTGTGTTCCTCATATGTTTTAGAATGGAGATGAACATTAGTGCACTTTTGTGCTTGCAGCCCTCTCTAGGTTCGTGATTACTTTTATATGCATCAGATAAAGGTTGTGTTTCTGAATTCAGGAGGTGAGGTTTGGCTTCTTCACAGAAAAACCGTAAAGGATGAATAGCCTTCGCACTTCCCCTAGAGAAATGAGCATTGCTTCGTCAAAATACTTAGAATTTAAAGTAATGTATGGGTTAACGTGAATCCTGACTATTTCCTGTCTGATCCTACTTTGTTTTGACTTCGGGCCTA